TATATCATCGATATGTTCTTGTTTGCATTCTTTTTGGCACTGCCGTCCCTATATCATTTTACATTTACAAAATGTTATACTTTTTATTAATTTTTTGTGTAGTTTTTCTCCTAACTGAAAGTTAGAGTATTCTATGAATGTGTATAATAGAATTTAATGTTATGTGAAGACACCAATTATATAGTGTACAAAGCATCGAGTATTCTACATGTTACAATCGTCTAATGTTCATCTATTATTGGCTGGTAATTTCTATTTCACCCTGTACGTTAGCTTTTTAAAATAGCAACAGATTTTCGTAAAAAAAGTTAATTTCAAGGGGTAATGATAACATCGTTCGCACTAGAATTATGATTTTTCAAAATTACTACTAGTTATTATGACCAAGCGTTGAGATCATGCACTGACCAAAAACACATAGAGTGGACTTAGGTTTAAACTGACGTTAGTGATAAAGTAGTTGTAGTTATCTTGACTAAAACAAGGAGAAGAAAGATGAAAGATTTTTATATGAAACATTATTACTATTACTAGCATAAAATAACTGTGCTCCACTTCAGGGCTGAAACGCCACCTTATGATCCACTGGGACCCCAAGCTCTCCCATTATCCCAACTACTTTCATAGATCCCCTCAAGGAGAGTGGCGTACTCAAAAACAAGTCCCGTTAGGACAACCACTCATGGTACCTGAGCACGTGTCACGTTTGGTCCCACTAGCGTGTGAGTGGGGGTATAAATATAGTTTCAAACATGGTACTCCAGGATTCAAAAAATTCTGATGCTAGATTCGGATTCAGTGATCCAGAAAACCTGCTTCTAGACCCCATCGTGCCTAGGGACACGTTTAAATCCCCTTGGTACCCATTTGGTACGGAGGCCACGCCATATAGATAATGACACACCTGAGTCACCCAGAGTCTAACCGCCAAATTTATCCTGCTATCTTTAACATTGTGGGAGGGATTCGCGGACAAAAAAAAATTAAATCGTTACACATTTAAAGCACATTTCCTTGTGATGTTGAAAATGGGAATAACGGACGGGCGTGACTTGGTGTCTAGCGTGAACGGATTGTGAAACTGAGAATTTAGAGTGCTTTGCCACAAAATACACTCCGCATTTTGTCGTCATGGGTGCGCTATAAGAGCCACAATTAAATTCCACCATTCGGTAAAACAAGAGTAGCCCTAAAGTTAGCTGTGGATGCTCTTCAATAGCTATTTACCGTCTTGTCTATCACTACAAAATTATACGGATGAGCATAGCTAGCCCTTTGTGTAGCTTTTAGAGAAAACTCTAAAACCAAAAACAACAATAAAAAACAAACGTGATTATAAATCTATGAGTTTGTATTAAAAAGATTGTTTGTTTGTTATGAATTTCGCGCAAAGCTACACGAGGGCTATCTGCGCTAGCCGTCCCTAATTTAGCAGAGGGAAGGCAGCTAGTCATCACCACCCACCGTCAACTCTTGGGCTACTCTTTTTCCAACGAATAGTGGGATTGACCATCATATTATAACGCCCCCACGGCTGAAAGGGCGAGCATGTTTGATGTGACGGAGATTCGAACACGCGACCTGCAGATTGCGAGTCAAGCACCCTAACCACCTGGCCATGCCGGGCGGTATTAAAAAGAAACTGGGTTGAAAATTACAAGATAAACATATAACTTCGGCTTGAAAATACAGTATGAAAATCAAAAGTGTGTTATGTAGAGAACCGTTTCATCCCTCTAAGAGGAAAAATAGCTACAATTCCATACAAGAAGTAGACAAAAATTGACTCGTGCCCGGAGTGTCAATAGGTCATAATGAACCTCAAGGCAGGACCTGCTTAATTAAATAGTTCATAATGATGCAGTAAAGAAATAAAGATGTTCATGTTAAGTATAGTATTTGAGAAATCTTCACAAAACGTGTGTGTGTTCAGTTTTTTCGCTAAGATAGGCGAGGGCTACCTGCGCTATAACCATCCTTAATTGTGAAATGATAAACTAGAGGAAAGGCAACTAGTCAACACCACCAACTGCTAACTCTTGGGCTACTATTTACCAATAATAGTGGGATTGAGAGTCACGTTACAGCGTCCCCACGGTTGAAAGGGTGAGCATATCCGACGATGGATTTTGATCTCGTGAACCGCAGCTTGCCAGTCGAGTGCTCTAACCATTAGGCTATGTTATGCCCTTTGACATAGTGAACTGGATGTTCAGAGAAAAACGTTCAGGTTACAAATAATCGAGATACCTGTGAGTAGGACCGGATAATTAAGACTTTTCAGCATTAATAGCTTCATACCGACAGTGACAGTCAGAATTTAATACGGTATCTCTTATTTGAATCTAATTTAATAATAGTTTAAATCCCAGCTCTGATTGTCTTAATGTTTCTGTTTTGTTTTCAATTAAATTTATTGTGTTAACTTACTAAGTATTCAACGATTATGAATAACTTGTAAACACCAGCGAATTCAGTGGTTCAGATAGAATAGAAATAAATAAGAGAAAAACGCATATTAATACCTACTTATTCACGGTATTAATTACTAATATACGAAAACTTAGGACTGAGACTAAACTAGTTACAAAGTTTAATTTTGAACAGAGGATTGGAGAGTTGGAATTAAATTAACTATAATCATAATACGATTTAAGTAATGTAAACAAGTTCGAAAATTAAAATCTAAACGACGATACTGCAATAATAAACTGGTTGAGTATCCTCTTCATTAATGGCGTGTCCGACCAGTTCTTGGATAGCGGATTAGTTTGAAGGTTCAAGACAGGTGAAAGACTAAGAAAAGTACTGTGCATTTTAAGCATCATGGGAGATGTTTCCTTGCAGTATTACGTACTAATCGTTACGTAAGTAAGCTTTACGTGCTGGAGAATAGAGGAAGTGGAATAAGTCCTTAATTGCCCAGTCATTTCAGTAGGTTTTTGTTTGTTTGTAATTAAGCACAAAGCTACACAATGGGCTATCTGTGCTCTGCCTACTACGGGTATCGAAACGTAACATCGAAACGTGTAGAGTCGTCAACTTTTAGGCCATAGATAGGCCTAAATGAAATGTTTTTTAATTGTGTACCAGTTTAACGTTGAATATTATTTATGATTTTAACATCTTTACAACTTATCGCATTTCTTTCCTCTCACCAAAACGGCCCGTCTTTTAGTCATTGATGGCCAAATTTTTTTTGGTAATCGAATATATATGTTTGTCCTGGGACCAAACTCAGTATATCTGAGTTAAAGAGTAAATCCCATAGCAACTTTCAACAAGATGCTTTTAACAATTTAAACTACTATATTCCTTCTCTCTCAAAGATAATACCTGTTCTTACGTCCTTAGTTTTCCAACATTCGCGTGATTTTGCATTGTACCTAGTACATAGGAGCTTAATGGTTAACGCAGTAATTTACTGTTATTTTAACTATTCAAATTACCTGGCTACCTTACTGGCTGTTTCAATATAACCTGCATACATTTTCTCTAGTAATTCGTGTATTCGTGCATATTAATATAAACTTCCATCGACCTTGATCAAGCACCTATGATAATGTATGAAAAGCCTTATGAACGGTAAACTGAGTAATGGCTGTTGAAGCAAGGAAACATCGTGACAAGTAAATACTAGCTTAATTACACTAAATAATAGATAATGTAAAATACACTATAAAACTTAGGACAGCCTGATATCATTATTATTTTATAAACTTAGCTTTATTTTTTAAGAATACTGTATTTGATATTATTAGATTGTTTCTTTTTTCTTGTGAGGATATCCACATTTTATTTGTCAGAATAAAAAAACATCTAATTTTTTCTTAATTTCATCATTAAAGAATATAATGTTACTAACAGAGACCCGCAAAACCTTTGCTGTCAAATTAGTATCTTTATTGCAACAGTATTTCGTTAAATACAAGATTTGTAGAGTAATACAAACGAAATATAATCGTAGACACCGAAATGGGTATTTGGTATGGCTGGTACAATGCGATAGTGGTCGATACGAATAATATGATACATATCTAGATACAGACGTTTTACCAACGGTTTGTTACAAAGTTTGACAGTCTTGACAATAAAATTTAATTAGAAACAGATGTATAACGTTTCTTCTTGTAAGTTACTAAGAAAAATCAACAACAAATGAGTCCAGAAAGACAAAAAATTAAGATGGGACAGATAGTGGTTTTGATCAGATATCTGGCTTCTGATATCCAATGGGATTCGGATATTTTCAGATAAGCTTGTAACTGTGGCCATACATATTGAAAATTCGCAGCATGCATGAACTATTCCTTAATTTGTTTTATTTAATAAGTTTAATACGGATGTAGAGTTCCCCATGAATGAGTTGCCAGTAAGGGAATGCATCATCTGCCGGAGTGAGACAATGTTTTTCACACCTGATCCCTCAATGAAACTGTTACTGCCGTTACTTTCGCTGCCGCTACCTTGACCACCTATGGTATACAGTGATAACACAACATGTGGGCGTGTTGTTTAGTTAAACTAAATTATGAATATTCTATTACCTCTATGATGACTACCAGGGCTTTCACTGTATAATACCAGGGAAAATAGTAGAAAGCACTAGTGGGGTAGACGACATGTTAAATAGAAGAAACCACAAGTTGATTTACAACTCATAATATACTTGGAATTAAAGAGACACAAAATGTGATTAGCTGGGTGGTCACCCGGTGGGACAGTGGTAAGTCTCTGGACTTAAAATGTTAAAATCTGGGGTTCGACTCACAGTGGTAGGCACAGCAAATAGTCCAATGTGACTTTGCTAAAAATAACCAACAAACAAAATTAACTGGGTGTAAAAAACAAACAAAAAAGTTTTTGTTAACCTCCCCCCCCCCAGATGTGCTCTAAATTTATGATACAATCCATATCATTTCTTTAAACAACTTTTTACTGTAATATGCTGTTTGTCTTTAATCAAATGACCAAAATAAATTGTTCTTTAAATTTTACAGGTTTTTAACATCTGGAACTCCTTAATACCGGGATTTTCTACATGAAATCTGTGAAGAATAGAAGACGATATTTCAAGACTTATCACTAGCGCATTTTAAAACTATCTCCAAGCGTGTCTTCATATTACGAAGAAATACTTAAAGGGTCCCGAATCAAACATTGATAACAAACTTTTTTTTGTGTGTGTATTTAGAAAGACTAACAACGATTTTTTTTATTTCTAAACACTGTAAACATGATACGTTTTAGTGGTTATATAATTTCTTTGGTAATAGTCTTCTGGGCGGCTACGTGTGAGAGCTTTATCTTGGAAGGCTCGCCTACGTCTTACGCTCAGTTTAAGACGTGGAACGGATCTCTCTCGTTTGAATTTCAAACTAACGAACTCAACGGACTTCTTTTTTATACTGACGACGGAGGAAGATTTCGCTATTTCTTTGAGCTCAAACTCGTTGAAGGAACCTTACGGTTACGTTATAACCTCGGAGAAGGCTCTGCTTTTATAACGGTGGGTCGAGGCTTAAACGATGGTGAGTGGCATCTCGTAGAAATTGTGCGACACGTAGAAAAAGTTTCGTTACGTGTTGACGACGAAATCAAGAATCGTGTAACACCTGGAAGGGACTTTGCTTTTGAAAATTTGTCAATGAACAGTTTCGTGTACATAGGAGGTTTGCCAGCTCGGTACAAATCAAAGCTTTCTCAGCTAGCTTTAACCACCGTCTTCTTCGAACCTCACTTTAAAGGAGCTATACGTAAAGTTATCTACTCCAATGACGAAGCCTCCTCCAGAAGACAAGACATGATTGCTTTTCATGGCATACGAAATAACGGGTTGGATCACTGTAATTACCGTGATCCATGTCAACATGGAGGTACATGTATCAGCACGGACAGTGGCGCCATCTGTGACTGCAAGAATGTGGACTACGAGGGGAACTTTTGTGATAAAGGTAGTATCAAATTAGATTTTTTAAACATATTATTGGCCTATAAATTTTTTAAATTAGCTTCGACCTTCAGCACTGGAACTTAACAGTATTTGTTTTTTACAGATTATTTGATCTATTGTTCTTGTATGAAATTTAGATAATTATCGCCGAGCTTCTGTAATTTATCTATTTGTATGTTAACAACAATTATTTTAAACAAAATGCAGTACACATATATGTGTAATACATAATTAAAACATAATAGTAATTTCTTAAAGTTCCTATTACTTTTAAGCAACAATCCCCTTTCGGTCGATATATCTTTAAAGTCACTAAATTGATAAATAAACAGTACATATTCTTCAGAAAATGCACTATTAGAGCTAGTTATGTTGCAACAAAACTATGTTCCAACATGTTTTAATATTAGTGAAAATTGAATATACCGTAGATTTTTTAATATAGATATACACAACTGTTTCTTTTACATAATCATATTTTCACGTCATAAACATCCACACAACGCACAGGCCCGCATATCCTCGTCCCCAATATACGATGGCCTCGTACAGTTTCCGTGTCAAACAGTCAATTTCGGTTTGTTTTGTCATATGACGTTACTTGACTGAGACCTCTTGTTTTCCGTTACTCGAAAAAAAAAAATCGTGGTTTGTGCTTTCAATCTGTATATATGTATGTGTGTGTGTGTGTGTGTGTGTATTTATATACTTTGTTCACCCTGTAGCACTAGTCGACCGTATAAACAAATAAACAGACAGAAGAACAGATTCAATCAATTTCTAATTGTGTATGTTCACTCTGTTTCCCTTACTACATAAACGACGAAATCCCCGTGGCGTCATTGTCTTTAGATGGCTTCTGAGAAATGCACAACGAACATTGGATCCTAACGATGCGGAATTCCCTACATGTTTCTTGAGCTCCATTACGCTTGATGATGATTGGCAGTGGTCATAGGAGACACTTTTGCTAGATATGTTTTCTTGAACTTTTCTACTACATCTAATGGTGACAATATTTAACAAAAGATATCATTTAAAAATTTCTATCTGTCGCAGATAGGTATGATAAGATTAGTTTACTGATTCTTCAGAGCGGTTAGTGCCCAATTTCGTACAATAATACATTCTGGTTTTATAAACCTGATAAACAAGCCTTACAAACGTCTATTGACTCTATCATTGTAACTATCTCTTGGAGAGATCCCTTTTATAGACACTGAAACAGCCTAAGGTTAATTAAGATATTTGACGATATTTTTAAGAATTAGTTCAGCGAAAATTCACTCCAGCACAGTTCGGATAATTCCATCATCAGTTGCTCTCGTCCTTTTCACATACAGTTTCAACTGCGTTATGTCTTCACAGCTCCGTCACCAAAACTGATATTAAATGAAATACGTCACAAAGTACAAATCTATAGAATAGTTGAGCACGTGTTTAAATCATTCTAAATAAGAGCGGTATATGAATTATCTATACCCAATACTGGGTTAATATTTAGTTCTACTCCGTGTAGGTAGCTTGTTTTGATCAGAAGATGAAAGTTAATGATAATAATTACTTACATAGTGTTACGAAATCAAGTTAACTGGAAATGCTTTTATTTCACATTCCTTTTAATTCGTTCATCGAGGATCAAAATAAAGTGTGTGTAAAAAAATAACATTTCAAATCTATATTTTTGTCTCCCACAAGTCGCAGCAACTAGTGAGAGACAAAAATAGATCTGAAATGCTATTTTTACACACCTCTGATTTTGAGCCGCAATGGACGAATTAAGAAAAAAAAATACATCTACAGTTAACATGATTTTTATGCAAATAGTTACTAAATATATCATATTTTTGAAAGTTTTTCCGTTTAATTTAAGCCTTTAATAATTACTGACTGCTTTAATTATTAAAATTGATTTAAATATACAAATTCATCTACACCTCAGTTGTTCACAAACACTGCGTCAGACTAACCTACTTAGTGTTCCTATATAGCTAAACTATTGTGATTTGCCGTACAAGCTAAAAGATATATTGTTGCAGGATCTTCATTTGTTTTCCTATCCAAACAGTCATCTGCCAGCCTTCACCTAAATTACAGTATTTAATCTTTCTTCTGCAGCAGAAATCGTACTTACTCTGGTAATTCCAAAAGGCCCCGCTTCTTTATGAACCTTGTACTAAAAAGAATGTAATTAGTAAACATGCTTTATTATACTTTTGTATAAGAAAATAGTTGAGAGCAATTCACCAACCAAAGTTCACTTCTGCTATTCTGTGGATGAATAGCTACATTGTGATATATTTATTCTTTACCTTCTGTAACAACAACAAAAAAACACACAAAAGAACTGGTTATTGCTAATGAAATGTTATATGTAGAACTGAATTATTTCAATACGTAAAATTGAACTGGGCGAAAACTGTTTTTGAAAATGAAAAGGAAGGCACAGTTGAAAGACGATATGTTGGTCAGCGGCAAAAAAAAAAGACTAGAGAAGGGAGACACTCCAGTCCTGAAGACAAAATAAGACTAGAGAAGGGAGACACTCCAGTCCTGAAGACAAAATAAGACTAGAGAAGGGAGAAACCCCAGTCCTGAAGACAAAATAAGACTAGAGAAGTGAGACACTCCAGTCCTGAAGACAAAATAAGACTAGAGAAGGGAGAAACCCCAGTCCTGAAGACAAAATAAGACTAGAGAAAGGAGAAACCCCAGTCCTGAAGACAAAATAAGACTAGAGAAGTGAGAAACTCCAGTCCTGAAGACAAAATAAGACTAGATAAGGGAGACACTCCAGTCCTAAAGACAAAATAAGACTAGAGAAGTGAGAAACTCCAGTCCTGAAGACAAAATAAGACTAGAGAAGGGAGACACTCCAGTCCTGAAGACAAAATAAGACTAGAGAAGGGAGAAACCCCAGTCCTGAAGACAAAATAAGACTAGATAAGGGAGAAACCCCAGTCCTGAAGACAAAATAAGACTAGAGAAGGGAGAAACCCCAGTCCTGAAGACAAAATAAGACTAGAGAAGGGAGAAACTCCAGTCCTGAAGACAGAAGCTACTCTTAAGGTTAGCCAAACCCAGAATTTCACAGCAGGCTTGCACTCAGAGAGAACTGGCCACCCTGTACAACTCAGTGGAAAAGACAACCCTAACAGGCGTCTACTTTAAAAATTACTCTATTAGAGCTTTGTTTCACAAGTCTTTGACGAAATCCTTTTTAATGTCAATTATAGAATCAAAAGTTCATAATTTTTCCTTCTTGTAACTTACTAATTATAAGAGTATAAAGTAATGGTAGCAGTCTACCTCACAAGTTCCATTGAAATCCTTATCTGTGAGTAAAACTAACATGATTTTAAAAAGATTTTAATTAGCCAATAAAAGTCACCTTTGACTGAAATTGCTAACAGTGTTCATGCTTTTACATTGATTATACTAAATTTAATATTGTATAAATTATTTTTGACTATTATCCATACAGTATCTTACACCACCTGTCATAGTGGCTATCAGGGAGTGTATATTTCAACAATAGGTTAGTAGTGACTTCAAAACCTAAATGTAAATAAAAATATAATGACTCAATAACCAGTCGGAACAGAGTAATTAGAAAATGATCCATATAAGTGCTATTTTGTATTCGTTTGATTATCCCTAGAACTAACGATGGTGATGGATTTCGTTGGATCCTAAACACATTTTTCTAAATTATTTATGCACTAAATTGGTTGTGGGTCCATGACTTTGTCGGGTACGGTTTCCCAGAAATGTATGAGTTCACAAACACACACAAAACTTAAACCAAAAAAGATCGTTAATAATTCATTATTGCATATTATTACATATTAGTTTGAGTTTTCAGTGTATTTTACGTAGAAAATGAGTATTCCCATCTAATTTTTTTTAAAGTTCTTTGCACTGATTTGTTTTTTTAACAGGCAAAAGCATAAGTTACTTAGTATGATGCAGCATTTGGACCACATCAATATGGAATGGTATATAAATTAGAAGACAGTTTAGGGGTTTATGATGTTTTTGAAAAGAAATACACCCTGAAGCTCTTGTTTAAAAATAGTTTACACACAGAGAAAAATATATCGTACATAACACTATTGTATTTAGATTTGTCAACAGATAAAACTAGATGCAGCCGTGGATAATGTTTAATAATAAGATATTGTTCATAATTTTCGGATAACCTTATAACTGAGATCTAATAGGACACGAATTAATGATCCAAGTAGTTACTATCAAGGTAGGTGCTATCAAGGAAAATTTTTGACAAGACTCCAAGCTATGCCAGCCGGCATGGCCATGTGGTTAGGGCGCTCGACTCGCAATCTGCGGGTTCGAATCCCCGTCACACCAAACATGCTGGCCATTTCAGCCCTGAGGGCAATCCCACGATTTGTTAGTAAAAGAATAGTCCAAGAGTTGGTGGTGGGTGGTGATGACTAGCTGTCTTCCCTCTTGTCTTTCACTGCTAAATTAGGGACGCCTGGCGCAGATAGCCCTCGTGTAACTTTGCGCGAAATTCAAAACAAACAACCAACCGAGCTATGCAAATCAGCTTGTGGAACTCGTAATCATTTAATTATTTTTTTCTGTCGTTGTTGGAAGTTGTTGGTTAAAATATGAAAAGTTTAAAAGGTGGCGCTTTGTTCTAGAAGAAGATATTTTGTAGACTGATTTATTTAGTACTGAAAAGTGGGGTGAAAAAAAAAACGAACGTCTTTCATTAAATTTCGTTTTCTATGAAAATAAACAATAATTTTCGCGACCAGATGTTCTCGACTCTGATGCTACACAGAGCGTGGATGAATGGAAACTTCGAGTTTTCCTTAGTACAAACAACAGCGTTAATAATTTTCGCGACCAGATGTTCACGACTCGGTGTTTCAAGGCGTGAAGATACGGGAATTTCCAGCACTTATAATGGGTAGTAGTAGTAATTAAGTTTATAGCTAGGATAAGTTCGTGCAGAATTGGGAATGCTGA